CATCATCGCAATGATCAGTTATAGTTGGTTGTGAAGATTGCTGTTGCTGCGTTGGAACAAACTCGGATTCTGTCTTGACAGACTTTTGTGGCCCTTTAAGTGATTCTGTGTCTTTACATAGTTTATTGGTAGAGCTAATATATGAAGGTCGCTGATTGTATTCGTATTTTTCTTCAGATTTTATAAAAAGCTACAAAATTGTATAAAATCGTTTAGCATGTATTGGCACACGATATTAACAACGTAACGAAAAATCCACCTGTTCTTCGTTTTGCATGGTATCATTCATATTCTGAGCACCATCCTTAAATTGACCTTGGTTATTCGAATCGATAGCTTTAACACTAACTTCGTCGTCTACTTCTTCTTCCTCTTCTTCCGATTCCGACTCCTCCTCTTCTCCTTCCTCTTCCCCCTCCTCTTCTTCATCCTCCTCTTCTTCCTCTTCGTCCTCTTCTTCATCCTCTGAATCATCTTCATGATCCTCGTCCTCATCCTCATCTTCATCGGCCTCATCATTGTTACCTTCTCGTGCTGTTACAACAACTTCTTCTGTCTCGTCATTGTCATCATCTTCGCCGTCGCCGTCGTCGTCGTCGTCGTCGTCGCCATCGTCATCATCATCATCATCTTCGTCGTCGTCATCTTCATCACCATCATCATCTTCTTCTTCTTCTTCTTCATTATCATCTTCTTCCTCATTATCCTCATTCCCTTCTTCATCCCCATCACTCTCATCTATATTAATGTCATTGTTTCTCTCTTCATATTCTAATTCCACGGACTCTTCCTCATCAGAGTCATCATCCTCAAACCCCTCTTCATCTAGACCCTTATCTTTTGACGTTTGATTTTCTTCTTCCATATTATCTACATTCTCATTATCATCCATCTCCATATTGTATTGATTAGCTTCACTGTTGTAATCCATGATTGATCACGAGTAATATACAATTATGTCCTGCTCTGCAGCTATAGTATTCCGTTCATATATTATTAAATTCTGAATATCTAAAGTTCCTCCGGTTTTAGTCTGAGCGTTGTATGATTGAAGATAGTATAATATCAGTCGATGCTTTGGATACTACAAAGTGCCGCGTAACGGCAGGAACAGAGAACAGGTGAAAGAAGAGACCGTAAGAACAATGAAAGCGATGGAGTTTTTTATTCTTTTTTTCGTCACTACTTTCCAACAATAATATATATATATATAGCCTCTGATTTGCTGTTTCTAATGTATACATTTTCTTCCCCAACTATCTCTGGTTTGGGTATTCTCGATTACAAAAGGTTTGCCGCCATAGATGCTATAATATAATTTATTAACTTAACCAAAGAACTTAATGTTTTATATTTAAATTCACTGAACTCGAGATTAACTTGGACACATTTATTATAGAGAATAGAACTATTGTTGGAAAGGGCTTAAAACCGAGAATATTCATGGGAAACACGGTTTTAAAGGGTATTTTCAGAATTAAAATAAAGTATTAAATTACCTGCCGTCCACGCAACCCACCCAGAAATGTCAAATGAGCAAGATGCTTCAGCACATTTTGTGGATGGTGACGATTACAGAAATAGCAATGTTGGGATTGGTCCCAGTTGGACAAGTAATTTGGAGATAAATTAAGCAAAGCCCATATAATCCAACTAAAAAACTCATAAATTTGCTACAGTCGTTTTTTAATTCGAGGGTTTTTTAATGATTTAAGGCGAGAAATGACAATGTCAAGTTTTTCTATTACTCATTCGATACAGATAATGCACATCTACTTCTATTCATCACCTCAATATACAAAAAAGTATATCACTTCTAAAACATTAACATCTCCCTCCTAATATAAATAATAATCGCTTACATATTATGTTATGTCTTTGTCAAACATCTTCTATCTAGAAGTGAAACATTTTTATTTCTATCCTGAACCACCCTTATAAGCCTTGCCAAAGAAGATGACTTGAAGTTTATCGTAGCCGGCCAACACACCAGCACCAGCGACAGCACGAAGGATATTAGCACCAGCGCCCTTGAAGAGAGATTTAACACCCTCCTTGCGGATAATTTCGGCGAATGCGTGCATTGAACTTTTGTACTTGACTGCTTCACCAGACGTCATCATCATACGACGTCTAACCGTATCGATAGGGTATGAAGCAAGACCAGCACCGATGGTAATACCCCAACCAAGAAGGAAGCTATTGGATAACAAAGAAGAAAATAAAAATGGTGGGTAAAAAATTTTTTTCAGTACAGTAACAGCGAACCGTAATGACAAGTTCATAACTGATGGAGCAAGCTATCAAACTAATCGGTATTGTTTGTTACCTTGCAAGGAAACTATCTTTCATTTGACCTCGAAGCACGATGGGTTTCAGTGAATCGAACATCCCAAAGTACAATCCTATACCAGACGATTAAGGAGAAAGCAGTAATTAGTTATTTGTCACCGCATCTCAAATTATTCATGTAATGAATGTCAAATTACCTCTGTAAATTATAATACCAACACAAGAGATATTGAATCCTGCAAAAAAAAAAAATCATATAAGTCACGTGAATACTATCTGGGTGGATAAAAAAAAATCTTTTGATAGAACATGATCAGTTGTAACCGAGCTGGTTTGTATATACCTCTGTAAAGCCCAATAATGCCATCAGATCTCAAAGTCTTACGGTAGACATCAACCAAACCATTGAATTGACGTTCACCACCCTTCTTGGCAGCCTTAGCATCATTTGCAAGACGAGTACGTGCATAATCGAGAGAATACACAAAGGTCAAAGATACAGCACCAGCTGCACCACCAGAAGCGATATTTCCAAGGAATACTTTTGTGTAACCGTCCTTTTCCTTGTTATAATTGAACATTCGCTTAAACTTGTCTTTGAAAGCAAAGTTGAGCGCCTGAGTAGGGAAATATCTGATGACATTAGCGGTGTTGCCACGCCAGAGGGAGATAACGCCTTCTTGTTTTATTGTCCTGTTGAAGCATTCACCAATGCCTTTGTATGGTTCAGTAAGACGGCCAGCCTTGATCATCTCATCTTGATTCTGAATAAGAAGTTTGACACGTTCGATGGGCGCGGCGGCAGTCTTTGATACTGCAGCGGACACACCGCCCATAAGGAAATCAACCGCGAAGGAAGAGGACTTTTTATCTTTTGACATGACGACTTATGTAGAGTGGGGAGGAGAATAAAAGAGATGGTTTTCTGTTCGAGTGGTAAGTTGAGAGAGCAACAATTGAAAGAGCAAGACAGAATCCGAGTTTGTTCCAACGCAGCAACAGCAATCTTCACAACCAACTATAACTGATCATTGCGATGATG